ATATACATCCAACAATTTCTGACCTTAGTCAGCAATGGAGAAAAAAATTACTCATTTTCCATTCATTAGCTTTGGAAGTTCCCTCCCCCAACCATATCGGAAACTTCTGGAAACTTAGGTCAAAGTCTTAGTCGCTGTTTCCATTTGAACGTTTTCACATCCATTCAAAAAGCATCAAAATCAGTTAATTACTTTTATTAGAAATTGTGTGCAAACACACTTAGAAAAACAATTTTTGCATCTGGAAAATGTCCAAAGTGTTTTATTGTAATATTTTTGATATACAACATGCAGAGAATTTAGCATGTTGTCTTGATATAAATGTTGCCTGTTTCATCATTTTCACGCACTTGATATAATAGAAGTAACTGGTTTTAGTATTTTCAAAATGAACGTGAAACGCTCAAACGGAAATCACAACTATGATGTTTAAATGTGTTTTCGGAAATTCTTTACTATTTGGATAGTAATATGATACAAATCAAAATAGACAAAGTTGTATATTGCTTGTATTTCTATTTATAAATACTGTAAGTTCAAATGGTATTTTTGAAAATTAAATAGAGCATCTTCTACACAGCTCTTCATACTATAAAAGCTCTACATAATATTTTTTTCTTTTTTTCAAAAAAATTAAGTTTACTAATTGTTAGCAATGTGAATGAATATGAATATAGAAATGATACTCAGTTATAAAAAATCTCGTCCTAAGATCATGAGCGGATTGCAGAAAAACTAGTTTTAATTCGGATAGTTTCTAACATGAAATTCTTGGAATTTTCAGTCTCATAGTTAGATAATTCTTCATTTATTTCGTTTTAATTAGTTAATTGAGTGTTGGAGAATTAATTTGTTCAAAAAATAATCCAAAACAGTCATATTGGATTATCGCCATATAAAAGCATTGAATTTCATGATTATATTTTGAAGTTTCTCCTTTAATCATAAGCTTACAATAATCTAAACTACGAACATTTTTTGTTTTTATTTCTTTTTTTTAATTGAGTGACTCTTATAATGTAGAACATGTTGTCATATATCATTCGACATAATTAAATGAATTATCTAATGATATTATTTTGTTATGAAAGTCAAGACTTGAGTATATATAAGAAACATGATAAATGAAAGAAAAATGTAATTATTATAGAATTAGTGTTTTTTTTTCTTTGTTAATAGAAACAAGGAATTGGATAATATACGTCAAAGAAAACCAGAAAATTCTGTTAGGTTTCAATCAATACTAGAAAATTCAGTATTTGAGCTCTCTATGAATAACATTGTTGTTTCATATCATAATATTAGATCTAATAAAATTGAACGTCTGATCAGAGCAATAATTGTTGTAGAATTATTCGCCATTCTATAGTTGTCAGTCTGATTTCATAAAGCTTTGAACGATTTTAGATACAGAGAGTCTATGAATTTTTCATAGATCTCTGATATGATGTTGTGATTCTATAAACATAAGGAAAAGAGAGAGAATATTTCATAAATAATAATATGCATAAAAGCTTAGACCGTTTACATAGGGACTCCGTAACCAAAGCGTTAAGAACACTCTTCATCCTTTTCCGAGCGTCTTAAAAACAGTTCGACCGAAAATTTTGATACTGTTAGGGTCAATACAACTTGACTAGTAGAGCAAAAATTATCATACGAAAATCTTCAGTTTAATCGGTCAACGCATCCGACAGTAAGAGGAGAATAACGTCCATGTTTATGTTCGAAAATAAATTTTGAAAAATACGTCAAACTATGTTTAGGTTTTGTTTATTTGATTTTTTTTTTAATGTTTAAAGACGGTTTTTGATTTTCAAACTATACTAAAAAGATAAATACTACTTCAGACTATGCAGTGATTACACAAAAAACAAAACTTGGGGGTCATGAACAGAGTAGAATACTCTTGAGTAAACTAAAGTATCATCAATGTTGTCGTCTCTATTGATGATGACTCTATAAAATTTTAGCTTTAACTGTAATATTAAATTTAAGGTGTCGGTTGTTTTTAATTGATTTAGTGTTATTCAACAGAACGCATTCACTTATATTTATAGAAACAAGTTTTTTTCCAGAAAATGTTGAACAAAAGATTAAATTTTAAATATCATGATTTGAGTCGTTCATTATAACAAATGTTTAATTTTCACTTTGTAAAACATAGTAAGTGTCATTTCCAGATTCAGTCGACAAAATAAACCCAAAGAAAGCCTTATGCGCATAAGGTGTTTTTTGGTTCATTTAATTATGATATTTACAATTCAATCTTTCCTGCAAAACTCGAAAGAGTAGTTTTGTATACGTAAGTCAATGTGTTCTGTCTAACAACAATAAATAAATTGAAAACAATAATTTGCTAAAATTTTGAATTTTCAGCATCTTAATTAGCATTGACTTTCATTGTAATAATTAAGATTAAATTATTATCATTTCTATACTTTATTTCAAATTTAATTATAAGAAAAGAAAAATAATAACATAATATGAATTGAAATGACTCATAAAAATTATAATCATAAATCTTCTACAAAATTTTCTATATATTTATATTATTTTAACATATTTTCATTTTGTTACTTATAACAATTAGAATGATCATTGAAATGATCCCATGTGTATGTAGAAAACTATATTTCTTATTTAAAAATAAGTTGATAATAATAAAAAGAATATGAAGATTGAAATACGTCTTATATAATGACATTCCAACACGCAGTCTTCTTTTTTTTTTTTTTTTTTTCTTTATTATATTAGACTTGCATCAATAGACTTAGTAATGGTATAGTAATGCTTAATTATTTCAATGTCTATTATATTATCAAGAATAAATAATATAGTATTCTTTTTCTATAATATAAAAAGCATAGATTTGATTTGTTTTGTATTTCACTATTCGGATTAAAGATTTTTTGATAATAAGAGAAAACAAAAACCGAGAATAAAAAATATTTATTTTCATTTAGAATAATTCTTATATCAAATATAAGAATAATTTTCTAAATATTAAATTTCTAATTAAAATTTTATTAATCAATAAAATCTAATATTAATATTTACTTGCATTGTTTTACTCATTTTTCTATATAATGAAAAACTTATTTATGATCATAAAATAATATTTATAATTTTTTTTTTTCTAAAGGAAATAAACTGTAAACCAATTGCCTCTATAAATCATAATTTGACGCAATTGATATTTGATATTCTATTTTAATGTCATTTTCAATCATGAATTTTATATATATATATATATGATCCATGAACAATCAATTGAGTGCGTCGTGATTTGTTGTTTTATCTCAGTATATATGTATTTGAATGAATGTATGACAAAGACGGATATATGATTTCATTATCAAAAATCGATTGTCGATGTCTAAGCATGTGCTACAATATTACATTTATTCTCCTTTTTTTTCCTCTGTGCATGTTGATAACAAATTTGTAGCGATGCAATGAACTAGAATCGTTCATTCGTTTTTTCATCCATCCATCATCGATCTATCTATCGATCCACCCACCCTTACTCACTCATTCACTCATTCATTCATTCACTATTTCTATGCCGTCGAATGTCATTATCATTTCTTCAATTCCGTACGCTAGTCTTTTTTCGGTTTATTCTAAGATAAGATCGAACAGAGAGGGAGAGAAAAGCAGAATAATAACAACAACAACATCAGCACCAACAACGAGGCGACTGACTGGTGGGTGGAAAAGAGAGAAAAAAAGCTTGACAAACTTGATTATATTTATCCGCAGATTCGCCATTTCCGTTCGGTCACTATTAAAGAGTTACAATAGACGATAGTAAAACAGCAAAAGCCGTTTGTGTATAAACTATCAACATAAAATCTGTTTTCACTAGTTGCTAAGCAGAACTTATCATTTCCGTTGTTTCTTAGCGATCCTAAGTTCTTGATTTTTTTCTCTTCTCATATAAACACCAAAAAGAAAAGACTACCAAATCATTTCAACAGAAAAAAGAAAATCATCTAGTTCGAACTTAAAAAAAAATGCATCAAATATTAGTAAGTATTTCTTGATTGACAGAATTGTGATCAATGATAATAAAAACTTGTTTTTGTTGTTGTTGTTGGTTTTTGTGTCACTTTCATCATTGTTTATCTATTTTGTCAATCTCTATATCTAGTTGCCATCTTAATTCAAACTAATGCGTGATTAAGAGTATGAGTATCGTCACGAAACCAATTAGGACTAGAAAAAAAAAGTCAACCGTGCAATTATCAAATATTGTATATATCCGTCTCGTTTTAGTTTCTAACTAGAAATAGTCTTTCATGTTACTTTGTAAATGAGCTCACGCTTTTCCGTCATATATATATTTTTTTTTATCTATCTCTCGTTACGGTCTAATGGCAATTTTTCATTAGCATCTTTCTGCTTTCTGCTTTTTTTTTTCTCTATTAGAGAAAAAATACCCAATCTGAAGAGTACACATATAAACACTTATGAATCTAGAGAGACTAAATACACCCGAAAGCGATAATATGGATTAGATATTAGGATTTTTTTCTTCGGGAAGATTATTTTTAATCATTTATACAATTTGAAGCAAATATAAAATTATTTATGCGTCAAACTAGAGAGGGAGTATATATTATTTGCATGTATATAAATATATTGACAATAGAATGTATGACTATTATTGTTGATTGAACTCAGCTTCACCTTTTTTTTTTTTTTCTAGTTTTACTAATGATGAATGAGAATAGGAAACAAAATAGAATATTTGTTTTAGAAATCAACATGCAATAAAAAACAAGAAGATGCATCGATCAAATACAATAAAAACATAAATTTATTTCGAATAATCTTTTCTATACATAAAATCAAAGTTTAAAAGAGTTCCAATACAAAATTTTATATTTAAATATATATATATATATATAGTTTTTTTTTCTTGTAAATATGATTAGAATTTCTAAATAATTTCTTTTTTTTCTTCTTCTAGTTTTTATATTTTAATTTTGTCAATGAAAAATAATTCTGAATCGGCATATATTAATATGTCTGCATTTGTTGCATTATCATGTTTAATTGCTTTTATTATTGTTATAACAATATGTCTTGTCAAACAATTTATATGGGATCCATTATTATCTAAACGTTTTGAAATTTTACGACCAGTTTTATCTGAATCAGTTCGTAAATTATCAACATCATTTAATCGTACACAATCAATTTCAATACCAAATATATCTATAAATAAATCACTCTCACAATCATGTATTAAAACAAATGAACCACCATTATTAACAGATAAAAATTTTATAACAATAACACAAAATTTACCATCAATTGATAATCAATTAAATAAAAATTTACCTCGTCGTTCATATGGTTCATCATCAATTAATTCATTTGCATATACAAATTATGGTTCAGAAGATTTACATGATGAAAAAATACATAATTATCCAATATTACATTTTAGTTGTGAATATAATCCATCAACATTTAGTATTAGATTAAATATACAAAATTTACGTAATATGAATTCATTATTATTATCATTTAATCATATAATTAATAAGAGTGCCTTTATATTTTTAAGATTTGTTTTATCAACAACAATAACTGGTGAACCATATGAAACATCATTACAACATTATCAAGATTTTATACGTTTTGGTGAAACATTTAATATATTGAGTAATATTAGATCGGGAGATATACTTAATTGTCAAATAAAATTTTTTCTTATGTTAATAACAGATAAAAATATGTATGAATTAGGTGAAACAAATTATTCAATGAAAGATGATCAATTAACACATATTTTATATATTGAACGTATATTACCAATTCGTTTAGGAAAAAAATTAAAATCAGTAACAAGCGAAGACAATAATTAAAGAAAAACCAAATAATAATAAATTTTAAAAATGTTTATATATATTTTTCTTTTTTTTTCATTGATGATTATGATTATCTATTTATATATGTATATAAATATACATATATATATTTTTTTTTCATTGTTGTTGTTTTTGTTAGTGTTTTATCTTGTGTCAAAATAACAAATGTTATATTTTGTAGAACAACCTCATAATATAAATAAGAAATCAATTCGAATAAAAATTCTAGTGTCCTAAGTTTGTTAGAAGTATTGAATTCTATTGGAATAAATTTAGACTTACTTCCATGATAAACGATCATACACCGTGGTTAGTCCAGCTGAAGTATATAAAATTCGTAGATCTTTGAAAACGACTGTTTAGGGCAAAAATATAGAGGTCGAATATGGATTCAATAAACAATTACGTTTACGTCAGTAAACGATCATATTACTCTATATACAATACAAAGAAATACGATTCTAATACGGAACCATGAAATACGCTAAAAACGACAATTTATGGTCGTTCGATCTGGATATTCTTTTGTTCACTTAAGAAAGATAGAGGCTATCTCAAATTTCAACACGCGAACTATTATTTTTGCTTTGTATTGCAAAAAAAGTTCCTGTTTAATCTATTGTTCGAGTCGATCTAGCTTAAAAAACTAAAATTATTTATCTAGCTCAAAGAAGAACGCTCGTAAACATTTTCCGTTTACGGACTTCGCATTCTTTGTCCTAAGTATTTTTGAAATAAATACTTATCATTTTATATGCTGCTGAATGCAAAACATGAAAGCCATGTGCTTCAATGTGTGGAGATCGTTTTTTTGAAGTACTTCATTTAATGAACTAATACTTATCTCAAA